TTCCCCCCCGGTTATTCTAGGATGAATAACTTTTAAACTATTCTTGAACGTGAAAAAAAAAAAAATCAGTTGAACCAGATGCTTACTAATTCTTATCTATTTTAGAGAACTAATTATCCCTGTTGTTGGTAGTGCTAAAGCTTACAAAATTGCTTCCATCTTTGAATTACTATAATTAAGACAATAACTTCCACATCTAGTTAACATTGCTGAGCAGCTGGTGCATTCATTGACATGCAGATTTTGGATTTTGTAAATTTTCTGCCATTGTGAATAAAAATTTTAAATACTTATTTTCATTTCTAAAATGTCTGTTTCTTATAAAGAAATCTTTGTAAAGCAAATCAACTGAAACCAAACTCCTGTAACATCAGATGAGAATCTATTGAAGTCTGGTTAGGTGATAGTCCATTTTAAGAAAATATATAACCACAGATAGCTTTTTTAGGTGTGATTGCTCTTAAATTTGGATCCCATTTCTTGTAGGGCTTTGAGGTCACAATTAAATGTCAAATCTGGAACAAGTCTGATGTTGGACTTCTGAAATGTTACTTTGAAAGGAGTTAATGCAGGAGTTAATCCAGCACTCTTGACAACCTGAGGTGGTTTACAAAAATAAAACTTTGTATTTAAAAATCATTAATATGAATAAAATGTTTTAATGATTACTAACCAAACTGATTTAAGCTTTACTGTTTCTGTACATCTTTTCCCTTCAAGTCAATTTCTATCAAAGTCTGTGGGAAGACTTGTGCAATCGGTGCTAATCTTGTTTACTTGCATATTCAGCAGCTTCAAGTATGAGAAAATTTTCAAGGTCTATAAGTTTTGAGATTTTGAGAAACTTCCTTATCGTTATTGATTTCTAATAGCCAGCAACACTATGAAATTACTTGATAGTGGTGGTTGGTTATTTATTTTTAAATGGTTTTCCCATGGCCCTTGCTTTTGTTCCATGAATGCCTCATGGACGTTAATCAGTTTTGCTCCGTGAGTTAGAGATATCCCCTGAGTAAACTGCTAAAGTAAAGAACTGGGTATTGATTTATGCTGAAACTGAAACATTGATTTGTTTTTTCAGACTGAATATGCCTATGAAACAAGGTGTACTAGTGGTGCTCGTTTTAGAGGCTTGGCATCTGATTGTCTGTTGGTGCAGAGGGGTTTGTTAGGGTGTAGTTGAAGAGCCCTCGAGCTGCGTGCAGCTCGCAGGTACACTACCAAATGTTCTTATAAATAACTCTGGCCAAGGGCGCAGGCTCCAGGGTACATTTCAGAGGGTCCAAACCCAGTGTCCAGTTACCAGACCCATGTCCGATGTCCTGCAGTGTTCAGTTTCAAGAACGCGCTGGGAACGCTTCACTACACGTAACAAATGTTATTTTTACTGCAGGCAGAGAAGTTAACTCTAGATGTAGTAAAAGCTCTATTTCCATAGTGATGGCACAGGCTTTGTTTCAAATATTTCTATATAAACTATCCATTTTGCTGTGGGTGTTGAGAATTAAATCACGTTGCTCTCATGCTCTCACAGATTTCTAGGTTTGGGTTTGGCAGCGTTGGGTGTGTGACCTGGGTGGCACAGGAGAGCAGGGGTGGCAGCAGGGGTACTGGCATGTTGACAGTCCTCCAGAGCATGCCACTGCCTGGAGATTGGCCCTGCAATTCTGGGCAGTTCAGAAACTTTGTGCTATTAAAACTGTATTTTGCCTGAACTGGAAGACCTGTAGGGGTTTTAATTCTCTGAAATTATGAAGTGGGATCTGAGGAAAAAAAGGTTAACAAGACCCAAACCAAATTGTGAGAGAAAAGGAGGGTCAGGGTAAGGCTTGCCTTGCATTTAATGAAAATAGCAAAACTTTGGCTTATAAACAAATAGTAATGCTTGGAATCTCTCTGGGCTGGTTAAGAACTTTATTTTTTTCTACTTAAAATATTCAAAGATATATAAGTAACCTTTTTCCTTTTTACTTTCTCCTTCTAATCCTGTTTTTTTATGTAGATGGAATGATTTTTAGGACAAGGAAACATGTAGTATTGTTTGAGAATTTGTGAATAGTAATAAGCAATTAATGCAATTGAAAGGATTGACAATATGGTCTCCTCATTATCATTGGCCTTGTAGCTCAGTACTGTCTGTCTGGCTAAAGTGCATCTTCCAGGAAATAATTTTTTTCTTCACTTGATCTGTTTCTGCCAACACTTAAATTGACTAGTATGAATTTCTTTGGCACAAAGCCCTGGTTAAAGCCAGTTTTGCTTCTTTCATATTTAGCTGTTCTTTAGGAGGTGCTCAAATGCTGTTGTAGTGACTTCTTGGGGGAGGTTGCCCAGCTGAAGTCTTCATGTTACCTTCTCCCTTCCTTTTTTGTATTTTTGTGACTACCAGAACTTCATCGCTCTTGTTCTGTAGTTTCTCTGGGATTCCAAGTTCTATTAAATGTTTTGTGTATATATCCAGAGAACTCTCTTCAACCAGTAGAGAGTATGATTTTATTTGTATATTCTTCTCATTGTATAACATGGATTCAGGAAATCAGACATTCTGCTTTTAGCCTCTGTGTTTAAGCTTTGCTTTATTGCCAACACACATGGTTCATAGAAATGGCTAAAGAGGGTTAAGTGATGTTCCCCCTTTCCAGATTAGAGATTCAGGGAAGTTGAAAGTTATCCAATTTTGAAGGTGTAAAGAGAATAATGTTTTATTCCTAACTTAGAGCTAAGCTTTCACTCAAGCCATTCCCTCCTCTGGGTACATTTGTGTTCACCTGACCTATTTTTATGGGTCTCAGCTGTGCTTACTCTTCAGCCACTTAACTCTTTTGGTCCCTTATCTTTATAAATACAGCAGAGAAAATTGTTTTGTAAAACTTGGTTCAGTTTGGCAAATGCAGGTGAGCAGTTAAAAAGCTCTGAGTTTGGGACAGTTCATGTTCCCTGTTATGCTGTGGTTTAAATATACCAAGTTTCCATAGCCAGCTCCAGACATCACTGTGGTAAAGTGTATTTTAGGAATTCTCTTTAGCAAATGGATATGACCATGGAGGATAGAGCTCTGTTTTCTCATTGTACTAGTGTTTTATATTGAGCAAGATCTTAAATTCTTATATTATAGTTTGTATTAAGATACACAGAATTTTTTAATTTCTTACGTAGTAATATATATTATATTAGAATACTCAGGACTTCTGTGTTGTGAGAGAGATTTTTCTATTAATATAAACATAATGATTATCTGGTGATAATGTTGAAATTGAGTATTCTGTTTTTTTTCAACAGTTACGGGAATAGAATAACTGAAAACATATTTTTAAAAAATCCATGAACTGAGATTTTAAGCTTCTTAATATCAGGCTGTTAGTTTTTCCATATGATGTACACAATGGCAATCAGTTTTTGGATGGCCTGTTGTTGAATAATACATGAAAATGGAGATTGTATAGAATCAGTTGGATAATTTTGAGAAATGCTTTAAGTACACTAAAGAGCCTGAATAGCAGTTAATGGTGCTTCAACTTTATTACTGTTTATTATAGTTGGCAGTTCAGTTGTATTTTTTTCTTCATTGAGTTCTCTAGTTTCCTATAGAACAGCAATAAAAAAGCTTACAAATAATAATGGTCAGATGCAGTGTATCTTGTGGCAGCAAAATAGTTTTGCATTAAATTGTAGTTCTTGGCAGTCTGAGCGTGTTTATTATTGGGCAGCTCCAGAAGATCAGCCAGTGCAGGAGGGACCGAAGCGGATACCAGCACTCGGTGCTCTGCAAGCAAACAGGCTTTGTGTGTGCCTGTGGTAACCCACGACGGAGCTTCGCAGGGCACCTCTGGAGCTGGGCCAGCGAACTCCTTCAGCCTCTGCTCAGCCTTCCTTGCTCCTGTCTATTCACCCAGCCCCTATCAAGACCGATGTGATTTTAGTTATGTTTTGAGAACTGCTGAAGTAAGCAGAAATGTCTCTGCCATCTAGAAAGCAAGTTAGAGGTGCAATGAATAAATGTACGTAGCTTCAATAGTTGTGAGATTTTGCTGTGAACTTGGGCTTTTAACTCTGCTTAAAGTGAAAAGTGGTGATGAGAAAGGGATTTAAATATCAGATTCTGTGATTCTGTGATCTGGTTGCTTCTGTTCACGCTCCCATGACTTAAAAAATATTTCTCTTGCCCGTTACAATTACGTCTGTTATCTTCAGAGGTAAATGTTTGCTGCTAGCAGGCACAGGCTGTGAAGCAAATGGAAGAACACATAATTCTGTTAATTTGGCTAAGTTCTGAAACTCCGGGGTGGGGGGGGGTGTGGGAGAAATCAGCTGCCTGGTAACAGAAGTGTCACTTTGTTTGCTGGAACAAAGTCATGGCAGCGAATGGAGCTGTTTGGGCAGGGGGCTTGTCTGAAACTTGCTTTGCAGAGTTTTCTATTGGTGTTGCCACAGGTGTTCACAAAGACTCAGGTTTTAAGTTTTAATAGTAATGCAGCTCATCTGCTGAATTGTGATAATGCTTTGCTTCATAATCTTAACATTGCCCTAAGGAATATGCTCAGATTTCTTATAGTAGTAGACAGTAATGGTAATGGATTTATTTGCTAGTTGTATATTGGTAAGAATATCAGATTTATTTGCTAGTTGCATGTTGGTAAGAATATCTGAAGCTCTCTAGGGTATTTTACAGTTCTCTGCTTTTTGTGTGATTTGTAAAACAAGAGTTGCACCTATTTTGTGAATCAGGAACATGTTGTCAGCTATCTCTAGTGGCCTGTGCATCATGAGATACAGTTTTTACATTGCTTTCAGCATATTAAAACACTTTCTACTGACAAAGTACCTTTTGGCCCTGTGTGTTTACTTCTTTGCAGGGTCACTACCAAGATTGAGAGCATGAGGAAATACTGACCTAAATACTGAAAGATTCCTCCTTAGCTGAAAGACATTCTGCAGGACTTGCCTTTCAGGTGCTTTTGTTCATCTGACCATGCCTTATCGCTTATCTTTCTTCATTTCAGCTGTCGGACAAGCAACAGAAAGAGTTTGATCGTAACATCCAGCACATCTCCAACTCTCCCACGACCACATTCCCCCCTTCATGGACATGCAGGTAACTCCCTGGGACGGCTTTACCTGGGAATCATTAGGAAAAATGTCAGTGTTCGTTGTAGTGAGTTTGAGTATATTGATACTCTACATCAAAATATGCTTTCTGAAACTTAACCTGACTATAGTTTTTCACCTTTTCTAACTTGTAAGAGGGTCCTTGTAGTTTCAAAATAAATGTTTTCTGCATTTATCATCTGTTCTGCACTTTCTAGTTTGCTACCATATCCATCTTCCACTCTTTCTGGGGGATTCCGTCCTCTTAGGTCTTGCAAATGAACCTGAGATGGAGAACAAAGTAAAATAAAATTAAGTAAACATACTTAAGTAAATATCTCGTTTTGAGTCACCTACCATGGTTAATTTGTGCCAAGGATTTAACTGCAGTTCTCATAAGAAGAAACATCCTGCTTGTTTCTGTATGCCTCTGGCAGCCCGTCAGCTGTGCAGTGTGCCATCTTATGGTCTCTATCTGCTGCTTAAAGCAACATGAGATGTTTAGGATTCTTCTCTTTTTTTACATTACTGCCAGTTTTACCCTGACAGCAACCGGGAAATGCTCATTTCAGACCAAATGGGTAACTACTTGTTAGTCATCGATGTGAAGTCCATGAAGAGAAAAAAGAATGATTGTTCAGCCTACAGTAACTATGGATTTTCAGGGGGGGTCACACATGCAGATTCCACAGCTTTCCTGAACAGCGTGTTCCCTTGATGTTATTCTTGAGGGAGGTAGGTGATGTGTAACTACATTGGTTTTGATATTTCAAAATGCCAGAGAGGACAGTTAGGCTTCAGGTATGGCCCTAATGGGCATCAGTAAGTAGCTTGAACATTTATGTCACATCTACAGTGGAGCCTGTCTGGAAGAACATCACTGTTGCATGTAACACAGGTAACTGTTGTTTCATTATAATCAGACATTCCTTCTCCTACATGGCAGTATGTTCTGTAAATACTTTCTGGAGATTAAAACTAGGGAAACACTGAGAAAGAACAGCAGATTGATAGTAGCTCAGCTAGAAGGAGTCATCTGCTTTTGTTTGCAGAGCATTCCATCTTGAGAGGTGACATCCAGCCTGTTGAAAGGAAAAAGATGACCAAAGTTATTGTTCAGAGTTGCTCATGAAAGCCTCAACCACTCTTAAGTTTTCATAATAATCTGTCATATTTGCTTCAATGCTATAAGCCCAGACATGGAAGGCTAGGAAGTTACTGTAAAGACATTGATTGTTTTTTTTTTCAATGACCCATAATTTTAAAATGAAAATGTTAACAAGATCTTATAAATGGTATATTAAAAACATTTTCTTTTTTCATCAGAATCTCAGATAAAATGCAGGGCCATAAAACTTATATATAGCAATTCCCTTTCACTTCAAACTCCCTTGGTTCTCTTGTGTGTGATTATGACAGTGATAACATTGTAAAAGTTGGTTTCACCAAGGTATTTTTCTTGGTAGAAATTCGCCATTTAGTTACACTGTGCTCCTTACTTTGTTCTTAGAATTGATATATATGTAGGATTTACCAAATTTTAAATTAGCTGTACAAGCCTTCAACTGAAGTGATAAAGATGATCCTCAGAATGTGAAAGAAATGTCCTTGCTTGGCATATTACAAGATGCTGACATGATCATTGCTTGAAAAATAAATGCAGAAATGTGCACAGTAGAAACATTTATATTTATTTTATTTTATTTCTATTTGATTTTCTCCTCTATTTAAAAAATGAAAAATTGCTCTTAATGGTTTTGATGCTGTCTCAAGCTTTACAAGCTTATCTTTTAATAGAAGTATGCGAGTGCCTTCTAGAAACAAGGGTAACTAATCAGTGATATGCCATCTTTCTTGTCAAATATTTCCATTTTTTGTTCCGATGTTGCATATGGAATTAAAAACTATTAATTAGAAGGACATTCTTTGTGACCTCCAAGAGTAGCCAGTAGAGCACAGGAAGATAAATTACTTGTAATTTGAGTTCTCTTACCAGTACTATATTTAGGAGTCTTCCCTGGGAAAAGTAATTTATTCAAGAGACAAATGTAGATGAAATTTAGAGTAGAGTCACAAATATTTTCTTAAGAAATATCATATATGAGATGTGAATTTGAGAACAGGCTGTGATATTTGTTTAGTATTTAAGCAGAATCTATCAATCTGTTTTTTTCAGACACATACACTAGTAAGTTACTAAGAAATGCTGGAATCTCTCCCTGGCCTCTTTTGTCTTGAACACACTCTTCTTAATGCCCTTTCTGAATCTCTGTTATGAATCAAAGTAGCAGCAAGTATGCAGAGAAACCAGGAAGACTTTCTGAAATATTTCTTTTTGGAAACCACTCTAAAATCAAGTCCTATATAGCACTAGTGTCAGGACTTTTTCTTCTGTATGTAATGTAAAAGTCAGTAGGTGTGATACAGCACAGTTGACTGTCCATCAGGCAAACTACCTCCTAATGAACACTAATCTAGGCAGATACACTTACTATCTAAACCAGCATCAAGATAAGATGCCAGGCATTTTCATATCCTAGAAAACTTAAGAGGAAAAGTAATAAGAGATCTCAACATTTGAGATGGAAGTATATCCAAGAAACTTTAACTTTGACATGAAATCACTTCTGATACAAGAACACAATGGATTTGAAGTGTGCTAATTCGGTTTTCAAACTGTATAAAATAATGTTTTCCAAAATGAGCTGAGACCTTGTTAGAGAGCTACTGCTTGTTGACTTTGTAGGAAAGTCACTCTGCTTGCTTAGTCTCCCAGACTTGAAGTGCCCAGTTTTAGGAATACAGGTTTGAAATTTTTCCCTTTAGCCTAAATTCTTCTTTGTCTGGTTTTTGGAGAGGGGGGG